GGTCCCTTAGCTTAGGCTGTGTCTATTACCCACAAGCCAGGCCTTATACTCCAGTCACTTCTATCTCCTTAAAAGGCTCCCTTGAGGCCTGCTACTGTAGGGGTCAGTGAGCAATGTCCTTTCCTTTATGCCTCTGCAGTCCAGATGGGCACAGAGCACAGAGATGGGAGAATTGAAGCAGTGGGGGTGGGATGTGACACTGCTGGTACTGACTGTCAGGTGAGTCCTGCTATGGTATGGGCTCAGATACTGGTGGGAAAGGATCAAATTGGAGAGTCAGTGTTAGGGACCCTCATACCTGGACTCCAGCTCTCTGTGTTCTTTTGGGTAAAGATTCTCCCCTGACTTAAGTTAGGTAAGGTTGGAGCATCTCCCAGGAGCTGTGCTGGTTTGTTTTGGGGGTGATGGACACATGAGCACTCACTGGCTGAGCAAAGAAAGGGAGGTGGAATATCAAAAAGGACTTGTATTTTCTCTGGAACCTCCCATGAGGCTGTAGGAGAAGGACCTGGAAAGGGGGTCAGGGTGCATGGGAGGAAGGGACACATAAGCTGTTTTTCATCTGAGGCTTCTGAAAAGAGAGATGGGCCACAGGGACTTCAGCCCCTAACACCTGTGCTGAGGCCTCTGCACCTGCTGGGCCCTTCCCAGGCTGTGTGAATTGGGGCTGGCCTGCCACCAGGCTGTCAGGCCTTGCTGGTCCTCTTACCACCAAACCTAGGCTGCTAGCCAGCACTCGTGTGTGTGTGTGTGTGTGTGTGTGTGTGTGTGTGTGTGTGTGTGTGAGAGAGAGAGAGAAGAGAGAGAGAGAGAGAGAGCGAGCATGAGAGAGCGAGAGCTTTAGCTTTAGCTTTGTCAGCAGGGGGACAGGCTTGACACCACCTGAGAACTCCAGGACTGTCACCCCTGTCTTTCCCTTCTGTACTAGAGACTAGGTTCGTTTCTGGCCTCTTAGAGCTGTAATAAAAAGTCATGTGGTGACTGCTGGTAGCTCTGAGACCTGGAAGGATGGACACTGACCCTGCCTAGGGGCTTCAGAGTTGGGGGGCAGGTGGGGTGGACACTCTGGAAATGTGAGTTGGAGTAGGGGTTTCCCTTGCTCACAGCTTTATCAGTGATCCAGTTGCTGGACCATCAGCCTGGACTGAGGGTGCCCCCATCTTGGGCTGCTCCAGGAGCCGGCAGGTCCCTGCACCCCCAGCTGCTACCATCTCCAGCCAGCCTTTGGCCTTAATCAAACTATAACCATATAGTCTGTCGCTGCTGTTATTCGTTCCTAGGGGCCAGGACTGCCTTGTTTTGTGATGCAGTAAACCGAAGCTAAAGCGGTTCAAGCTCGCCCTAGGTTTGGGCGATCCGCTGCCCAGGTCCGGGCCCTGACCCCTGCCCCTTCAGGGGGAGGTGACCGAGCAGCGGGAGCTGGGAGGGGCAGTGACCGTCAGTAACCCCTGCGCGCGCTGGCGCCGAGCGGGTTAAAGGCGGACGCCCGCGAGTAACCCCGGCCCCTTTCAGAGTCGGGGTGAAACCCGAGCTGCCGCCGTCGGGGATGGGCGGGGCCCTACTGGGGCCGCGGCGCCGCTGCTGATTGGCGGTGTGCGCTCACCCCATGCCCGGCCCGCGGCCCGGGGGCGGGGCGAGGGGCGGGGCGCCGAGGCTCTCCGCGGGCTTTAAAGCCCCGCGGGGTCTGACAGGTGAAGTCGCACCGACGGGGTCAGGGCCACCGCCTGCTCGCCCCAGGGGGCGGGGCGCGGACCTCCGAGCCATGGACTGCACATTCGAAGGTACTTGTGGAAAGGGTGACCCGGATCTCCCTGGTGCGGCCAGGTCTCCGCTGCAGATCGCAGTCTGGAGTTCCCACTGAGGGGCGGTGCGGCTCCTTAGGCGCTGGGCCGGTTCCTGCTTGCTTGGAGTTTGTCTGGGGGCCCCTCCAGCTGCTTAGCGACCCAACAGCCGCACCCCGGAACTTGAGTTTGCAGTGACTTTCCCCCCATCCCTTGCTTGCCCTCTGGGCACGGTCCGGGAAAGAAAAAGGAGGGCAGTGTCCTGTTTGCCTTAGGGGCTGACCTATTTGGTGACTATTTATTGTGGGCATTTTGGATTCTCCAGGCAGGAGGTGGGAGCCCTGGACGATCTAAAGCTGTCAACTTTTCTTTCTGGGCCTCAGTTTCCCAGTCTAGCAAATGGGCTGTCAAGAGCAGGCTTGAGAAGTAGGAGATCCTGTGAATAAAATTACTGTTTATAACCTGCATAAATCTGGAAAGTCTCAAGGATTCAGGAGGTTAAGCTGCCACTTAGTCTACCCTCTGCTCATGGCCTTGTTAAGTCCCCTCCTGCAGTAATAGTCCTTCAGCCTGAGCATCTGTCAGCATGCTGTGTTACAATCTCACTCAGTTGAGCAAGGCCTCATGCAGTGCTGCCCTAAAGAGCTTAATTCTTTTTTCACAGTTGACAAAACTGAGGCCCAGTGAGAGAAGGTGATTGGCTCAGGCTTCAGCTCAAGAGGTGGCTCAGGCAGGGAACTTGAGAGCATTGGGGGCCTCCTAGGGTTGTGGTCAGGATCCTGTAAGGCCCTTTGACCTAGAAGGTAGCCTCCCCTGAGTGGTTTAGAGTGCCCTGAGCTAAGCCAGCCAGGGTACCAGTTGCCAGCTGGGGGAGAGGGCCTGTGGCCTGGCTGGGGCTGAGGCAGGGAGTGTCTTAGTCTGCATGAGGAGAGAGTCAAGATAGAGAGCACTTTGCTTTTTATAGCCGGAAAAACCAAAACCTGAATGGCCAGACCTGGGTCCTGGGGCTACTTGGCTGTAAGCAGGGCCTGGGTTCGTGCCCTGAACACACAGACACATTGGTTGGCTACTTGGCCAGAAGTTGGTTCTATCCTAAGCCTCTATCTGTTCTGCTGAGGAGTGGGTTAGTGATGGCAGCTTCTCTTCTGACTTGGTGGAACAAGGGAAGGTGTAAGAACAAAAGCTTGGCCTTTTTGTAGACTGGGTTTGAAGTTTTCTGCATTGTCTCTGGCTGCCTGTGGTCCTGAATGTCTGTCCTTTCTTGTCTACAAGGCAGCGAGCACACCTTCTGAGTAGGGTAGTGGCTAGTGCCTGGGACATTGGGGTTAAGAAGATATGGATTCAGTAAGACCTTAGGCCGAATCTGTTGCATCCCCTGTAGAATGGGGCATGTGTTTCATCATAATACCTTCTTAGAGTTGTGGGCTCAGTATAGTCCATCAGTAGGGTACTCCACTCTGCTGGTACACTCCCCACTACCCCAGTCCATTCAGGATGGATGAGAACCCTATCCTGACATAGAACCCTACCCTGCCATTAATTTTGGGGGGTACTAGACCACCCCCCAGAGGAGTGGGACCTGGGTTGCATGTCACAGACTTGTCTCTCTACATCTCTCCCCTTGGAACTGAGGGGGTGGGTGACATTACCCATTTCTCAGAAGTCTCTGAGTTTTTGTCAGCGTCCATGTGAGGGGACTCTGCTAAGTATCCTTAAAGGAAGAGTACAGGAGTGGCAATGGGCACGGAGCCCTGTGCAACTTTTTGAAGATGCCTCTGTCCTGTGTCCCTTCTGTCCCTCCCCAAGAACTGGACTTCCTGCCTAGGTGCCCTTGTTTTACAGGCTGAGAAACTGAGGCCCGAATGGGGCTAGATCAAGGCTGTCCCTAAGTCTCTGGACTCTAGTCCTAGATGGAGTATATGTTCTTTCAACAGACCAGGTCCTGGAGTAGAGCAGTGAGGGGGCAGAAAGGGCAGGAGAAGCTTGATGAAGGACTTGCCAATTCCTGGCAATTCCAATTCCTGGAATCCATCACATAGAATAGATGTGTATTTACATGGATGGTGGGACTGAGCAGTCAGTGTCCCAGGAAGGCAAAGTTAAAGTTTACCACTTTCCATACCGAAGTACAGGATGGGCTGGGGGATGACCCATTCAGTAAAGTACTTGCCTTACAAGCACAAGGACCTGAGTTTGATCCCCAGAATCCACATAACAATGCCAGGCATGGTGGTGCATGCTTGTAATTCCAGTGCTGGGGCATTGGAAATAGCCTAATCTAATTGCTGAGCTCCAAGACAGTGAAAGACTCTGTCTCAAAGGAAGTAGAGCGCATTCCTGAGTTATCCCCAAGTTATCCCTCAGTCTGCACATACCTGCACTCACACATGTGTACCTGCATTCATGTGAACATGCACACACAGACACATACCACACGTGCTCACATTAAAAAAAATACAGGACATGATGGGGTATAGCTTAGTGGTGGAGAACATGCTTAGTATGTGCTATGCTTTGGTCCATTGTGTCACTCAGAAAAACACAAACCACACTAAGAGATTCCTATCTCTGCTCCCCCAAAAGTTGCTTGGTTATATAGGTTGGGACTCCCTCCCTTTCCCCCCTTGAAGGTTTCATGGTGTTGCCAGACTGGCCTCTAATTTCTGGGTGTAGCCTCCCTGGTTGCTGGGATCACAGCATTGCTGTGCTCAGCTTGGGCAAGATTTTTGTCTGTCTTGTTCGTTTATTTTAGGCCCCAGGATGAAGAGGGCCTAGGAAGAGTCTCTTGCCTCCTTTGGGTACTTGGTACAGCTGAACGAATGAATGAATGAATGAATGAATGAATGAGTGGAGTGAATGAGTAAGCAAACATGGTCCTGCTGTTTGCTGTAGCTGTGGATATTATGTCAGCTGATATAGGTGGGTGGCAAGAGCTCTGAAACTGGCAGCCTCAGGTACCTTTAGCATGAAGCCAGGTCAGGACCCAGTGGTGCTGGCCCTGTCTGGTTGTGGCCAGGGCTATCAGCTACATACACTGCACCAGATGTGGGTCCACATATCACAGGTGCCTGTGAAAGGTCTCTATCAGGACCACTCGTTCCTGTGGGTGGCTTTGCCCATTGACACAACTGTGTGTGATCAGGGAGTATGCACAGGCCCTGCTTAGGAGCTAACCTCTGCACCCTGCTGTCTCTCATACATCCTCCTTTTCTTCCCTAGACATGCTTCAGCTCATCAACAACCAAGACAGCGACTTCCCTGGCCTGTTTGATGCCCCCTATGCTGGGGGTGGGGTGGGTGACACAGACCCTGCCAGCCCTGGTGCCAGCTCCCCCGAAAGCTTGTCTCCTCCTGCTTCTCTGAGCTCCTCCCTGGAAGCCTTTCTGGGGGGACCCAAGGTGGCACCTGCACCCTTGTCCCCTCCACCATCTGCATCCACTGCATTGAAGATGTACCCATCTGTGCCTCCCTTCTCCCCTGGATCTGGAATCAAAGAAGAGCCAGTACCACTCACCATCCTGCAGCCTCCAACTCCACAGCCATCACCAGGGACTCTCTTGCCCCAGAACTTCCCTCCACCACCCTCCCAGTTCAGCTCTACCCCTGTGTTGGGGTACTCTAGTCCTCCTGCAGGCTTCTCAGGTAAGGGATGGTGGTAGGAGGAGACAGTGGGAAGTGGGAAGGGGCATAGGAAGAGCAGCTGTTGTGGTCTCAGTGGAGGAACTTGCACAGGTTTTGGAAGTCAGGTATTCATCCTGTGGCTTAAGATGCCCCTTCATGCAGGGTCCAGTTGTTTGTCTTCCTCATCACCAAGCTGGATGGTGGCATGTTAGCATCAGAATTCAGGGCCTGTCCACTAGGAAACCATAGGGTTAGAGTTATCTGAGGCCCAGAGACAGGCCAGCACCCTTGACTTTGTCTCTGCAGGTACCCTTCCTGGGAGTACCCAGCAGCCACCACCTGGCCTGCCACTGGTTTCTGCACCAGGGATCTCGCCTGTCTCCTTACAAACGCAGGTCCAGAGCTCAGCTTCCCAGCAGCTGCTGCCAGCCCCAGCAGCCCCTGGAACAACCACTGTGACCTCACAGATCCAGCAGGTCCCGGTGAGCCGTCTGGCCAGACTTGGAGGGCAGAGTCAGCCCTGGCCTAGATGCCACTCCTGACCAGGTCCCTCCTACCCAGGTCATGTTGCAGCCACACTTCATCAAGGCAGACTCACTGCTGCTGACAGCTGTAAAGACAGATGCAGGGGCCACAGTAAAGGCTGCAGGCATCAATGCCCTGGCCCCTGGCACGGCTGTACAGGCAGGCCCCTTGCAGGTAGGTGGCCCAGGCAGAGGGGAGACCATGGGGGGCTACATGCATGCCTGCCCACCTGGTGACATGGATTTGTACCTGCAGACCCTGGTAAGTGGTGGGACCATCCTGGCCACAGTGCCGCTGGTTGTGGATGCTGACAAGCTGCCCATCCACCGACTGGCAGCTGGTAGCAAGGCCCTGGGCTCAACCCAGAGCCGTAGTGAGAAACGTACAGCCCACAATGCCATCGAGAAACGCTACCGTTCCTCTATCAATGACAAGATTGTGGAGCTCAAGGACCTGGTAGTGGGCACCGAAGCAAAGGTATGGTCAGAGACCTGTAAGATTTAGGCTGGGGTAAGCCGGGGAGAAGCCAGCAAGAAGTACGCTTAGTCTAAGTTTGGTCACATGGGCTTGGGCTTCATCTTGTCTAGGCCTGGGCAGCCCTGTTTATCTGATTAGATTTAATAAGGGCATCCTGCACAAAGAAAGGGCTGTTCTAAGCGTTGGTGTTCCCTAGTGATGAAAAAGACAAAAATCCTGTCTTAGAGGAACTGATGCCCCAGTGGGAAAGTGGCCATTGAGCAGGATAAAAAAGTCAGTGTTCAGGTGGCTCTCATGGTACTGGGGAAGAAAATAGGAGCTAGGAGGTGGAATGTGAGAGTTGCAGATCTAAATTGGGTGGTCAAGGAAGGCCTCACTAGTAAAGGCCTGGAGGAAACAAGAGGGATATGAAATGGCAATAATAATAACAACAGCTAGCCAGACACTGTTGTATGTATTTTGCACCATTATTTCTGCCTTGAGAAGTAGGTTCTATTAGGAGATATTAGCCAAGGAATATTCTAGGCAGAAGAAATAGCAGGTGTAAAGGTCCCAAGGCAGCTGTCGTGCAAAGCAGCTGTGCCAACTTTGGCTAGGTACCTGTACCCAGGTCTGACTGGCTGATTGTGCTTTCTCTATCACTCTGCAGCTGAATAAATCTGCTGTCTTACGCAAGGCCATTGACTACATCCGCTTCTTACAACACAGCAACCAGAAACTCAAGCAGGAGAACTTGAGCCTGCGAACTGCTGCTCACAAAAGCAGTAAGTCTCAGGCTCCCTCTGGCCCTGGCTTCCCTCTCCCTGTGTAACCCCACCTGTGGCTCTGGCCCTGTACTGACACTGACCCCTCCTTCAGCTTGGTCCCTTGATCAGCTGGGCCAGACAGTGGCCTTTGCCCTGTTTTGGTCGTAACAAAACTGGTCCAGCTTTAGGGCCTCAGAGGCTAGGCCATTTCCTGACCCTGTTCCTTTTGCCTTCAGAATCACTGAAGGATCTGGTGTCAACCTGTGGTAGTGGAGGAAGCACAGATGTGCCCATGGAGGGCATGAAGCCTGAGGCGGTAGAGACGCTGACCCCTCCACCCTCAGATGCTGGCTCACCCTCCCAGAGCAGCCCCTTGTCCCTTGGCAGCAAGGGTAGTGGCAGCAGCAGTGACTCTGAGCCTGACAGTCCAGTCTTTGAGGACAGCCAGGTGGGGCTTTGCAACATGGCCCTTTCCCTCTCTCGCCCCTTTTAGTACCTGCCATTGAAGGCAGAGACCTCACCTCCATGCCTCTTGCCCCCTGCCAGGTAAAGGCAGAGCAGGTGCCACCACAGCCTCCACTCAACCAGCCTCTGCACAGCCGAGGCATGCTGGACCGCTCCCGCCTGGCCCTGTGTGCACTGGTCTTCCTGTGTCTGACTTGCAACCCCCTGGCCTCCCTGTGTGGCTGGGGCCTCCCCAGCCCCTCCAGTGCTGCCAGTGTGCATCAGAGTCCTGGGCGCAGCATGCTGGAGGCTGAGGGCAGAGGTGAGTCACACCAGCCTGGACAGTGTTGGGAGGGATCTTTGGGGTTTTGGGTTTCCTGGGAGCTGTGTCCTCAACCCTTTGCTTTCTCTATAGATGGCCCCAGCTGGACCTGGTGGTTGCTGCCCCCCCTGGTCTGTCTAGCCAATGGACTACTAGTGCTGGTCTGCTTAGCATTTCTCTTTGTGTATGGGGAGCCGGTTACCCGACCCCACTCAGGCCCCGCTGTACACTTTTGGAGACATCGCAAGCAGGCTGACTTGGACTTGGCCCGGGTAAAGGACTGACCCTGGGGAGAGGGAGCAGGTCAGGCCCCAGGCTGGGAAGTTTCTCTTGTTCTCAGCTCTCTTTGTACACTTCAAATATGCCCCACCCCCACCCTTTGACCCATTTAGAGGGGAGATACTTTGATGCTGCATTTCTCACTGAGACAATCCTTTCCTCAGGGGGATTTTGCCCAGGCTGCTCAGCAGCTGTGGCTAGCCCTACAGGCACTGGGCCGGCCCCTGCCCACTTCTCATCTGGACCTGGCCTGCAGCCTGCTCTGGAACCTCATTCGCCACCTGCTGCAGCGCCTCTGGGTGGGCCGCTGGCTGGCAGGCCAGGCCGGAGGCCTGCAGAGGGACTGTGGGCTGAGGGTGGATGCCCGCACCAGTGCCCGAGATGCAGCTCTCGTCTACCATAAGCTGCACCAGCTGCACACCATGGGTATGGCTGGGTGGGAGCTGGGCTTGAGGGACTCCCACCTGTCCTATCACCTCCTGTCTTCATGCCTCACCTGTTTTGCAGGGAAGTACACAGGAGGGCACCTTGCTGCCTCCAACCTCGCACTGAGTGCCCTGAACCTGGCTGAATGTGCAGGGGATGCTGTGTCCATGGCAACGCTGGCAGAGATCTATGTGGCAGCAGCCCTGAGGGTCAAAACCAGTCTCCCAAGAGCCTTGCACTTTCTGACAGTGAGTGGGAGATGGGCTGATGGGGACAGGACTGTGGCTTGTCTTTGTAGCTCTCCCCAGTCACTTCCAGGGTGAGGGGCCAAATAGGATGTAGCAACTGATTAGGAGGGCTGATGACTGACAGGGTCCCCACTTGGGTCTGGGTTTGAGCCTGGGGCCAGTATGACAGTCTAGTTCCCTTCCCCTACAGCGTTTCTTCTTGAGTAGTGCCCGCGAGGCCTGCCTAGCACAGAGTGGTTCAGTGCCTCTTGCCATGCAGTGGCTGTGCCACCCCGTGGGCCACCGTTTCTTCGTGGATGGGGACTGGGCCCTACGCAGTGCCCCACAGGAGAGCCTGTACAGCTTGGCCGGGAACCCAGGTGCTCACTCACCCCATTCCTCTCCTTGTCCTGTGTCTTATCCCTGCGCCCCCCCCCCCCCACATTGTCCCCTCATCCTTAGATGTCCTCACTCACCCAGCTCATCTTGCGCTGTGGGCTGGAGCTGGGGCTGTGGGAAGGTCTGCTGGGTGCTTAAGAAACAGGAAGTAGCCAGGTGTGGTGGCGCATGCCTTTAATCCCAGAGGTAGGCGGATCTCTGTGAGTTCAAGCCCAGCCTGGTCTACAGAGTTCCAGAGTTTCAGGACAGCTGGGGCTAGAGGAGTACCCTGTCTCAAAAAAAAAAAAGAACCAGGAAATAGCACAGGGGTCAGAGGGCAACACGTGGATTTGGGAGGTGACCCCAGGCTACATCATTGTGGCCTGAGGAAGTGTCTCAGGGAAGGGCAGGGCCCATCAGGTATGTGACTGAGTAGGCTCTCTTTCCAGTGTGAGCTCTTAGAGAGGTCAGCTCACTGTTGTCTTCCTCCTAGGGACATGGGCTCCTGGGGGTAGGGACTAGGTACTTACCCATTGCTGTCCACAGATCTGGTAGGGCTGTTCCTAGTGCTAGGCCAGCACTTGGAACTGGCTCTGGATTGGAGATCAAGTCTACCTAGGAAGAAGGCATTGGCATAGGGAGGGGACTATGGAGAGGAGAGTGTCCTGGCCCCTGCTCCACTCACCCCTGTACCCACAGTGGACCCACTGGCCCGGATGACCCAAATATTCTGTGAGCATCTACTGGAGCAAGCACTGAGCTGTGTGGCCCAGCCCAGCCCAGGGGCAGCTGATGGAGACAAGTGAGTATTCCTGTGCTATTCCAAGAAAAGATCCTACAACAGGGAATCTGGGTAGGACATGTCCAGGGACTTGTTTGGGTGGTCAGAACCCAGGCATCTATTTACTTCCTATGTTTTGGGGGCCACTCTGGATCTTGCTTTCCCATCAGCGAGACAGGAGGTAACTGGCCCATTGTAGAGCCAGATTCAGACTGTGCTTTGTTGGGCACTTGGGGAGTACTGGCATTCCCCAGAACCCCAAGGACTGCCACTATCTGTCCTGACAGTCAATCCTCTCCTGACTTAGGGAGTTCTCAGATGCTCTTGGGTACCTGCAGTTGCTAAACAGCTGTGCCGATGCTGCAGGGGCTCCTGCCTGCAGCTTCTCCATCAGTTCCAGCATGGCTGCCACCACTGGTGAGCTCCTGACCCTTGTCCTGACTCCTTCCAGGCCCAGGTACAATGTAACTGAGGGTCAGGCACCCCTCCATTTTCTATAGGCAAAGACCCAGTGGCCAAATGGTGGGCCTCTCTGACGGCCGTGGTGATCCACTGGTTGCGGCGGGATGAAGAGGCAGCTGAACGCCTGTACCCACTGGTGGAACATATGCCCCAAGTGCTTCAGGAGACTGAGTGAGTGCCAGTCAGGTCCTCCCTACCCAACTCTGGGCCCCTTGGCACTGCGCTTACACACCTGTGTGGGGAAGACACATTGTGTTCTCTGCCCCCAGGAGTCCAGAACCAGGATAGGGTGTTTGGGGTGGGGCTGTGCTCTGATCTGACCTACCATGTCTGTCTTGGCCCTGATAGGAGACCCCTGCCCAGGGCAGCTCTATACTCCTTCAGGGCTGCCCGGGCCCTGCTGGGCCGTAGAAAGGGGGAATCTGGCCCTGCCAACCTGGCCATCTGTGAGAAGGCCAGTGGATACCTGTGGGACAGCTTAGCTATTACACCAACTGGCAGCTCCATTGACAAGGTAAGGGGTAGGCTGGGCCAGGGTCAGAGCTGACTGTTTGATTCCATCAAAGTAGTACCAGGCTTATCAAAGCTTTTTTTTAACTTTAAAAAAAAAAAAGATTTATTATTTCTTAAATTACGTGTATGTGTGTGTGTATATGAGGTATTAGTGTAGGTGCCTGAGGGGGCCAGAGGCAGCAGATCCCTTGGGACTGGAGTTATAGGCAATTGTAAGCCACCCAACATGGGTGTTGGGAACCAACCTCCAGTTCTCTGCAAGAGTAGTTTGCACTCTTAACCAATGAGCCATCTCTCCAATCTTACCTCAGTTTTTGACTAAGGCTTAAGTCCTGGGGAAGAATGGTTTCAGTTTCTCTACCACCAGAGGAAGGGTGTGGTGGGCAGCGTGGCAGGGCCTCTCTGGAGGTCTATTGTCTAGAAGACTGAGGACTGCTTGTGGGCATTGTGGCCTGGAGAGGCAGGTGGCTCCGCGGTGCATTGCTGTTGCATTGCATGTGTGAAGCGGGTGCAATGCCTCAGCAGTGCAGCCCAGAGTCAGCCCCTGGCACTGCAGGCCCTCTCCCTACCTCTGCTGGTACTAGAGCCCCAATGACCTCTGCTCTGCCTGCCATCCCAGGCCATGCAGCTGCTTTTGTGTGATCTGCTCCTTGTGGCTCGCACTAGCCTGTGGCGGCAGCAGCAGCCACCACCCTCAGCTCAGATGACTCAGGGTGCCAGCAGTGGACCCCAGGCCTCTGCATTGGAGCTGCGTGGCTTCCAACAAGACCTTAGCAGCCTGAGGCGTTTGGCACAGAGTTTCCGGCCTGCTATGAGGAGGGTGAGTTCCCACTGTACCGTCACCTCACACTGGGTTTATGAGACAGCAAGTAGGGGGAGAGAATAGAGACTGAATCTGAAACTGGCCATACCCCCTCAACCCCAGGTGTTCCTACACGAGGCCACAGCCAGGCTGATGGCAGGAGCTAGCCCGGCACGGACACACCAGCTCCTGGACCGTAGTCTAAGGAGGCGGGCAGGCTCTGGTGGCAAAGGAGGTGAGGTGGTGGCTAGTCTTACAGGGGAATGGGGGTTCCTTACTCAGCCTGCAGCCTTTCTCCACCAGACTTAGTGTGAAGGACATTGAGAAGGTTGAGTTATAGAAATCAATTGGGGAAAACTGTCGGATAGCCCTAGGGAGGAGTCTGAACTCGTGTGTACCTGGGATGGGGTGGAGAAAGCAGGACAGTGACATCCAAGTGCCCGGGAAGTTCTTGTAGAAGAAATCAAGATGCCTTGTTCTGCATGGGGTGTAGCCCCAGCCAGATCAGAGCCCCACCCCTGACACATCTGGTATGTGCAGGTGCAGCAGCTGAACTGGAACCTCGGCCCACTTGGCGGGAGCATACCGAGGCCTTGCTGTTAGCCTCCTGCTACCTACCGCCAGGCTTCCTATCAGCTCCAGGACAGCGTGTGAGCATGCTAGCTGAGGCTGCACGTACACTAGAGAAGCTTGGTGACCGCCGACTGCTGCTTGACTGCCAGCAGATGCTTCTGCGCCTGGGCGGCGGGACCACCGTCACCTCCAGCTAGATTCAGGCAGGTGGCCCCCATCTCAAGTGTCCTGGTCTCCACAGTTCACCACGTCTCCACTGGGGGTGGGAGTCCCTTGAAGACCTGTCACTTGCTTTGGTCTGCTAGAGGGGTGTGAATCTACCTCGTCAACCTGGCAAGTGGCGGTCAGGATGGTGCTGACCTCCAGTGGCTGATCGGAGAATTGCAGTGGCCTACCACGTGCCACCCTCATATGTAAGCACCTTAGTGGCTTGTTTTTCCTAGCCTATGCAAAAAGGATGAGAGGAAACTTTCCCCCGAGGAAGCCCTGCCCCAAGGTGCCTCTCTTCCTCTTGGGGAGATTTGTATATAGTGTAGATGCGGCCAGCCTCTATGCCTGGCGGGCTCATGTGCTACTTTTGAGTTTTGCAAACTTTATTTTCATAGGTTGAGAAATTTTGTACAGAAAATTAAAAGTGAAATTATTTATAACCTGAGTTTTGTTCTTTTGGGTAGGTGGGTGTATGCCTCATCTGATAGCCATCCTTCCTGGGGAGTCCTCTGGGAGCCAGGGCTTCTCAGCTGCCTTAAGGGAGTGTTTGCCAACTTCTGCCTTCTTATGCTTTGGCCAACCTGTGCCCTCCCACCCCCATCATGGCCACACATTTGGCTATATCAACCTTTAGACCTAGGTGTCTCTTTACCTCCCACCTCCTTCCCAGGGTGACATGGGCCTGTTGGGACAGGAGTCACAACCTGAGTCTCCCTGTATATCTGGAGCACCCCACCCACCCACACCTATCTCCTATCCTCTGGTCATCTCCTTGTACACCTGGCAAAGCCTTGTACCACCATCAGGCTACATGAGCTGGTGAACCATCAAGTATTAGGGAGTCTCCTGTTCTGCAGTGATAAGCAAAATCTGAGGTCTCTATTTGTGTCTCCCAGCCCTCCTGTCCATTCCAATTGCCCACCTAAAGCCTGCTCCCATTCCCGTAGGGAATCTGGTCATCATCCACAGGCTGCAAACTTCCAAAACAATTGTATCTTTATTGACTTTTTTCTGAATGCAATGACTGTTTTTTTTTTTTTTTAACTCTTAAGGAAAATAAACATCTTTTAGAAACAGCTCGATACACACAATCTTCAGTGTGAAGCAATATACTAATAAGAACACTAGTTGTCTTAACATTTACAGTCTTCATATATATTATATATATGTATATGTATACATATATATACACTATATAACGAGGCCAGATATAATACACACGTTTACCATTTTACAGTCATATGTACAGGAAATTGTGGGGGAGGGGGCTGCATCAGGCCTATTGAAGCGTGGACAGAGCTGAGGACACAGATGGACAGGTGGGGACTGGCCTGGGCTGTGGTGGCTGGAAGGGCCATCCCTGTAGCCCCTGCCCCAGTAAAGGCCAGGCTAGAGCTCTGTGCTGCGGAGCACACGACGCACATTGGCGACACACAGAAGCGAGCATGTTCCCAACATATATACATTCTATGTAACATATATATAGAGGGGTACACAGGTTTTGTACACGAATCTAGTGCTGTCCCTGTCACGTGCGAGCGCTGAGGTTCCCGGAAACCACGGTGAAGCTTTGCTATGACAGCACAGACAGAGGGGTGGCCAGGCCAACTCTCCTTCTCAGGCTCCTTCTGGGCTCCAGGGGATGGGCGGAAGACTGGAAAGGGGACAAACAGAAGCCAGAGGGCCCCGCCCCCACCAGGGACCACAGCTCCCGAGCGCCGGCCCACGACGACTCCGGCTGTGCAAATCGTGGGCAGACTGACTGCTAAGAGTGCTCGCTGCGGTTCCCGCCGGCAGGGCCTCAGAACGGCTTCGATTTGCCCGGCGTCGTCCACCGAGCCGGCATCTCCCTGGGCCTCTTTCAGGGCCCCCGCTGCACGCCACGACCGACCGTGAGGAATGTATGCCACGTTGGCTCGAACTCCCACGGCATTCGCGTCCCGGGAGTTGGCGCCCTGCCCTCTCCAAGCCGAGTTCCGCGAGTGGGCCCGGAGCGCGCGGCTCTGAACAGGTTTTCTTCGTAATCGCACGCCAGAGCCGGAGGCGGCCGGATCCAAGACCTGGGGCCGGGATCAAGGATCAGCTGTGGGCGCAGCTTCAGGCCCTGGTGCACGGCGGCTTTCAGCGGCGGGCGGGGATTACAATGGCAGCCTCTGCGGGAGAGACAGAGCGTCAAGGCCGACAGTGGACGCCCCGCCCCTCCCCTCCCCTCCCCTCGAGCAGCTCCCGCCCGACCTCTTTCCCACCCCGCAGCAGCCTTCAGGCCTTCAGGCGCGCACTGGGACCTGGCTGACTTTAGGGCAGCTGGAAAAGGCAGTGGGCAGGGCCTGAAGTGAGGCTAAGCTGAGTAGGGTTGGTGCTCCTGCATCTACTGGGGTCTGCAGGCCTGGGGTACTCATTCTCTGCAGCTGCTTGTGTTCACCTACCTTATGTTTGGGGCACTTCAAAGTAAAATTCTCCTCAATGAATGCACAACCTGTGATCAAACAGAAGTTTCTGTAGTGAGGCAGAGTGGGGAGCGCTGCAGGTGTTCCACAGCGCCCAGAACTGCAGATGTCTTTCATCCACACCATCCCGTGCCTTGAGATGCACCTCTCTGCCTCTGTCCTGTTATTTCCCCTCCCCTTCCCTCTTAGCCATCCTAGCCAGTCCCTGGCCCATTGCCACAAGGACAGCTTCTTGTCACTCCCTTCTCACTTCCCATGCTTTATTCTGCATGGCCACTCCTGTCCCCACCTCCTGCACAATGATCAGGTCTATGTATGGACTGCTGCTCCCCAACCCCATCCCCTTGCAGAGAACAGGGGAAGAGGCCCATGCCCAGGAAGCACTCATGACTGCTGGGTGGCCAACCATTCAGGTCCTGGCTGGAGTGCTGAGCCTCTGTCTCCACATTTGTAGAATGAGCATTATGCTATCTACTCTGTTCTGTCATGGGGAACCTTTCCCATGTGCACAGCAAGTGCTCCTGATGTAAAGGTGTGATCGTAAGAGATGGTAGGAAGTTGCAGGTGGGGGGGGGGGCAGATCCCATGTGTTCAGAGCACTGTCCACTCTGGAGGGGCAGAGGATGGCTAAGCACAGCCAAGTTTTATGCCTACCTGGCTAAAATGTACTGATATCACAGGGCCTTAACTCCTTGCCAGCTATCTCTGGAGACCAACTTGTCCCCTTTCACCCAAGGACTCTCTTGGGCCCATCTCTTCTCTCCCACTGGCCAGAGCACACCTTCCCCATGCACTGGGATTTTCCCACCTCATACTGGTGATGATGCAGGGCCAGGCACCACCCAAGGTGCCTCCTCCACCCAAGGCGGGGAGGGAGGGAAATGTTACTTCGGGAAGTTGCAGGAGAGGTTTTTGCCTTCTAAAGCCAGCAGCTCACACACCACAGAACCAGGGCTAAGTGCAGATAGTAGTTTCAAATCAACTCAGCCAACAATCACCCAGCAGTTGCTGGGGGCTGGGACTGGGGAGGGCCAGGCAGCTCTGGGACTTAAGATTAGTCTGGAGCCCCTGGTGTGGCAGCTGCGCTCTTGAGAAAGTGAGGGGGAGAAGGCATCAGCCATGGTCACCTTGACTCTCGTAGCTTGAAGACCCCTGGGAACATCAGTGAACTGTTCTTATACTCCCTAGTCACCTGGCTAGGCATTTTGGCCTCTACTCTTGCTCTGGCTGTTGTGCCCATTTTCCAGGGTTACACCCCTTGCCACTTGTTCAGAGGTGTGTCCTCCCACCCCACTTGCTAAGGCCCAGAATCTCAGGTGTGAGCCCAGTGGGGACAGCTCCATGCCTATAGACATCTCCGGGTCAGCCTGACCACATGGCAGCTGCTAGCTTGTGGCAAGTGGCTTCCCTTTTGCCCATTCTTTGCTACATGACTCTGTAGGGGTCCCCATCCTTTGAACCTGAGCTGAACTGGTGACCTGCCTTTGGCCAGTAGGATTCAGCAAGGTCCAGAAGCCAAGCTAAGAGGCCTTGAGACCTCTTTTCTTTCAGGGTCCTACTATCACAAGGACTTGTCAGCCACCAGAGGGCAAGACCACATGGAAGAGATAGCACTGGCACCCCTGGGGACTTCTAGAGCAGCCTGTCCCCAGCAGAGCCTGCCAGTTGATTTGTGCCCTTGGAGGTATTAATAAATAGTGCTATTTAAGCCAGTAAAGTGGGCTGGGAGGGCCAGTATCTTGGCCTCTCTATCTTCTCATGCCAGCCTTGCTCCAATCAACATTTCTTTTAATATGAAGAAGCCAGGTTTGACAAACCTGCTCTCACGTTTTCATCAAGTCCTATGGTTTCTGTGTCAGTAGTCTCTGGGATGTATGGTTCTGCCAGCATTAGGCAGCCATCCTCTCCTGCTTGGTTCAGTGGCAGTTCATCAGTCTTGATCATAGCTTCTTGTGTTCCCAGTCCCCTTCTTGCTCAGTCCTGGAGACTACACATTCCTGTTACATTTCTCAAAGCCTGGTCTACAGTCTCACCACTAACTATGGCTCAACTCCTCTAAACTTGATAGAATCTAGAATTAACTGGGAGATGGGCCTCTGGGTATGCCTATAGAGAATTATCCTGATTAGGTTAATTGCTGTAGGAAGACCCACCCACTATAGGTAGCAACGTTCCTTGGATTGGGATCCTGGACTGTATAAAATGGAGAAAGTAAGCTCAGCAATAGCACAGCATTTGCTAGTTTCTGCTGCTTCCTTTTTAAAAAATAAATGTAAAAATTATGTGTATACGTGTGTGTGTGTGAGTGTAGGTTTGTGCGCCTGTGGAAGTCAGTGGAAGACATCAGATACCCTGGAGCTAGAGTTACAGACAGCTGTGAGCTGCTGGACATATGTGCTGGGAACCAAACTTGGGTCCTCTGCAAAAAAAGAACATGCTCTTAACTGCTGAACCATCTTTCCAGTTCTGCTTTTTCTTTTTTCCTCTTTCTTTTTTGAGCTACGGTCTCCTATGTAGCCCTCGCTGGTCTGGAACTGACTATATAGACCAGGCTGGCCTTGAACTCAGAGATAAGCCTGCCTTTGCCTCCTGAATGTTGTTATTAAAGGTGTATGCCACATGCCTCGCTTTTTTTTATTTTATGCGTATGAGTGTTTTGCCTGTATGGATTTAAGTGTACCACCTATGTGCAGTGGCCACAGAGACCAGAAGAGGGTATCAGAGTCCCTGGAACTGGAGTTATGGATGGGCTGTTAGCAGTCATGTGGGTGCTGGGAACCAAACTGGGATCCTCTGCAAGAGCAACCAGTGTTCTTAACCACTAAGCCATCTCTCCAGCCTCAGCCTCTCTGGCTTTTTGATTGAGGATGCAATTGGACCAGCTCCCTTGAGCTCCTGCTGCTGTGACTTTCTTGCTACAATGGACTATACCCTGGGACTGTGAGCTAAAACAAATCCTTAAGTTGCTTTTGTCAGGGTAGTTGATCATAGCAATAGAAAAGTTACAGACACATAGTCTGTTATTGTGGGTAGAAACAGACTGTACTGACTGCCTCTGGGGAGGCCGGGCAGGCCCAGAGTAGGAGAGCACAGGATGTAAAGCCAGAAAGTCCCAGCTTTTCTAGGGCTAGATGGTACCTGTGGTGAGACAGCATAGCAGGCTGTGGGCAGAAAGCGAATTGCCACATGAGGATTGCTACTGTGGTAGCTCTGACAGGGAGTGAGGCCATGTGTCTAAGTTCACATTCCAACACTGGCCATGCTCTGTATGATGGATGTGGAGCCAGCAGCAACCTCACCTGTGCCCCACCATCCCCTTTCTGCTAGGTATTATCAGCTCAGCACCACCAAAGGACTGTCATCACCTGAAGCCCTGTATGGTTCCTAGAGTGGTTTGGCTGGGACTGGTGCTGGCCCAGGATCCAGTGCTGGGCTGGATCCAGACAGGGCTGGTTATGGGCCACTGCCCTGGTTGGGATGAGTGACCAGACAAGAGTAGGGCTCCTATTCATCCTTCAAAGCCCATCCTATATCCTTTTCTTTCTCAACTCTCTGCTCAGACCTCTATCATTTATGCCTCTGTTTCTCCTCTATTAGGTGGGTAGGGACTGACATATTTTTATGTCTGTGACATTGCCCAATCCAGGTGTAGGTAGAAAGAAAATGAGATAGTCACATGGAACCTGGGTTGGAAGAGCTGTATTCAGGGCCCCTGTGGCCAGCTCTTACCTGTGTCGCTGGCACACGGGTAGTGGTAGGTATGGATGCATCCTTTGTAGGAGCATGAGATGGTGGCCCCGGATTCATGACAGCTAGAACATGGCTGAAGAGAGAGGAAGGCAAGTAAGTCTTTGTGTACTCCAGAAAGGCCTGCCATCAGAACGGCCCCTGAAAAGCAGCAGGGAATGAGATGTCCTTGAGGGCTGGCACACTGGGTGGAGAACCTTCTTGGGCTAGTGGTGCTAGTTACCACACTGGCCATGGATGGCAGCCAGCATCTGTCAGGTGTTATTTACATGCTGGCCCTGGTGTGTCCTTGTCTACTGGTTCCTTCTGGCAGCCTCAAAGGAGTGACTTTCCCTGATTCCACACCACAGATGGTGAGACAGCCTCTCTTCCATGTGAGAAGAGGCAAGAAGCACTTTTCACCCTGTGGTGGCAGCAGGAGCCCAGAGTGGAGCTGGGTAAGAGGGCTGATAGTGACTGCCAAGGCTTATTTCCTGATTCTGATGCCCTGTTCCCCCAGGACATGCCAGGCCCATGGTACATCTCCATGTCTTCTGCTGGGCTCAGAGGCTATGACATGACATTGACAGGAAAGCTGTGAAGTGAAGCCAAACCTGGGCCTAGGGAGGGACAGAGACAGATCCCAGGTCACTCGTGCTCCTGGGCCCATCATTTTGGTGGGCAGTGAGGCAGGAGGGAAGCAGAGGGCACAGAGCAGGCCCAGATGGCAAGCACTTAGACAAGAACAGCTTGCTCTAGGCATGGCTGGAAGCCCCAGAACAGCAGTCTCTTCTCCAGGCTGGCATGAAAGTGGAGCAGGCACACCCACAGGCACAAAGCTGCAGGCTGACTGAGCCATAGTACAGCAGGCCCAGGAGGGTGGCACTGTCCTAATCCCCCATAGCTGGAGAGGGCAGCAGGGGAAGGTAGGCTGAGGAGCACTTGGAACATGGTTTCTGCAGAGCTTCTGGATGGACTGTCCATGAATTTGGAGCCCTGAGTTCCATACATGTTGACCCGTATGGGGGAGATGAAGCATAATTGGGGACCCCAGGATACAGTGTAATTCACAGTGGCCTTTGGAGTGTTGTGAGGTTTAAGGGTAACCACAAGGCCCCCTGTAGATGATGGCACAGCTATGGCCCCAGAAACCCTTGAGGCAAGTATCTGAGTGCTCCTTGTAGACACGAAGAAACTGAGGTGTAAAGGAATGAGCCCCACTGTTCTTGCCCCTAGTTCTCCCAAGAGGGGGTATGGCCTATGAACTGTGTCCCACTTTCTGGTCCAGGTACCTACACTCAGAGGCTACCAGCCTCCTGAGAGCATGAGTCAGTCCCAGGTTCCTATGTTGCTGTACCCCACCCATCTAGCCAGGAAATGGGGTGTGGTAACAATGGGGTCAGGGATGTGGGCAGCCCAGGAGGCTAAAGCCCAGGAAGGTAGGCATGGCAGGCTGAGAGAGAACAGGGAGAAAGGCAGGAAGAGCAACCCTGGGGGCTCACATACCTCAGTCCTCCAGAGAACAAAGGGGAGGCTAAAAGACTGGACAGGGTACTGGGTGGGGCCATATACTCAGACCTGAGTCCTGTCAGCAGACCCCAGCTGCCAGCCATGAGCTTATCAGGCTCAGTACTTCTGGCAGGGAGGGCCCTCAGTATGTGGCAAACCTCTGTCCAGTGAGAGCCTCTCCTGACCTTCCCTGTCATCCTGTGGTAGGAAGCCACTAAGTCATGCTGGAGTGTAGCAGGGAGACAGGTTGAGCCATGAGGTGGCTCCAGCTGTGACTCTGACCCACACCCGCTCCTCAGCTCAATAGGTCTGTCTGTGTGCCAGCACCAGCAGCAAATGGAGAGGCCAGACTACAGGGCCCTTTATCTGTACTCACGGCTGTCTTTCCTTGTGCTGGGTGCAAGGAACATGAGATAACCGGGTCCCAACTCTGGCCTCCAATAAACCCTGGATATGGGCCTCAGGCTATGGTACCAGAGTAGCACTAGCACTCCTGAGGCCCTGTGAATGGTGTGAATGGTACAGGGTGGGGGTGGGGGACATCCAGCTGGGCAGGGGTCCCGGGGTTATTTCTTTCTTTCTTTCTCTCTCTCTCTCTCTCACCCTCCCTCCCTCCTTTTTTTTTTCTTTCTTTTTTTGAGACAGAGTCCCCCTATAGCCCCAGCTGGCCTGGAACTCATAGAGATCTGCCAGCTTCTGCCTCTGGAGTGCTGGGATCAAAGGTGTGTCCTACCACACCTGGCTTAGGGGCTATTTTCTAATGATGGGAGCGACTTGAGACTGTTTTAAGGTGACTAAGAAGACAAGTTACCATGAAGCCAGTGACATGGGTGGGGGACATCCAGCTGGGCAGGGGTCCCGGGTTTATTTCTTTCTTTCTTTCTCTCTCTCTCTCTCTCTCTCACCCTCCCTCCCTCCTTTTTTTTTTCTTTCTTTTTTTGAGACAGAGTCCCCCTATAGCCCCAGCTGGCCTGGAACTCATAGAGATCTGCCAGCTTCTGCCTCTGGAGTGCTGGGATCAAAGGTGTGTCCTACCACACCTGGCTTAGGGGCTATTTTCTAATGATGGGAGCGACTTGAGACTGTTTTAAGGTGACTAAGAAGACAAGTTACCATGAAGCCAGTGACAGGAAGAGGAGAGGGAGGCCCAGGGCTGTAGGGGTACGGAGGTCCTTCTGTCATGAGCTGGCTGAGGCACTGGAAGCTTAGTGTCATTTGGGCCCTTTTCAAGGTGGACAGACATTAGGGTCCAGAGAGAGGTTCTACAGTCATTACTGGGCAGTGGGCAGCTGGAAGCCAAGAGACATGGGCAGTAATCCCCAAGGTCAAGGGTGGGGTCTGGGTAGAATGCTTCCAAGAGCTGGGACAGAAAAGTGTGGGGAGGGAGGAGACCGCTGAGCTAGGTAGCTCTGCCGGGCCACAAAATGGCTCAGAGGCCCAAGCCCCACTGAGCAGTCTAGGTCTTCTAAACTCATTTGCCCCTGCCCACAGTAGACTGAGAGAAGAAACAGAAGTAGAAGTAGGAGTTGGACAAGGCTGGTGTGGATATTCTGTGAGAACCAGTGTGGAGGAGTCTTGTCACCCCGGACCTAGGACATAACCTGCTGGGGCAGGAAGTGGCTTTGATGCCCCCACTACGGGGGAAGAACATGTTGGAATGGTATCTGCTAGTGCCCATGACCTGAGGAACCCCAGTAGCTTCTGTTCAGAATGCACACCCCTATCCCATGCTCCTAGTCTTGTGATGCCAGATGTAGACTCCTCAAAGCTTGGTAGGTGGCTAGGCCCCGTGACCTCATCCCATGGGAGATGAATGAACGAAGGCAGAGGCTGCCTCCCCAGGTGAGTGTGGCAGCTACAGAGTGCTCTGAAGGTATGGCTTAGAATCAGGTGTCTAAGGCTCTGGGCTGTTGTGGGCTCCAGGGTTGCCTGGACCAGGGTCCCATGCTTTAGCCTCATGTTGTTTAGGGGCTGTCCCCTATGCCCTAGCTCATGGATAGGATAGGCTATTCCCTGACATTTAATTCTGGGAGACCTCTATCCTCTCAGCATCCTATGTGGGGCTTGGGCGATTCTCAGGTGATATGTGACCCAGAGGGACATGAGGGCTGCAGCAGTGTCCTGCTTTAGCCTCAGGAGTGCTTCAACTTGTCTCTACACTCCCTGGAGGAAATTCTGGAGCCTGAGACTGTATTCTGTGGCTGTGGGCACACGACCCCCAGTAAGTTCTGAAGATAACAGTACCCTCTACCTGCCTACCTGTACTTCAGGATTCCACCCCCACCCCGGCTCGGCTAGCTTCTTACCATGTCCACAGCCACCTTCATGGCCTCCTGTAGCCCAAAGAGCTTCCCGGCCACCAGGTATACCCCGCTGGTCCACACAGCACAGGCCTCATGCACCCAATGCTCCTGGGTGTCCCCACCAGGCTCTGCAGGGGCCTCTTTGCTGCATTCATGTTTGCGGCTCTTGTCAGCTGGGGCCACCTCCTCACCCCCATCCCCCTGACCATCACAGCAATAGCAACTCTGCAGCCGCCGTGAAAGGCCCCGGGCACTGGTGCGCAAGGAGCCTTGCTTGGTGGGGTCCGCTGGACCATCAGGTTTGGGCAGCCTCCCAAGTGTGGCAGCAGCAGCGGTGGTGGCAGCAGCGGAAGTGCTGGCTGCACACTCTGGAGCTTTGAGTGTTCTCTCAAGAGGCAGAGAGACCTCCTCCAAGATGCCCTCCAGCCGCACCTTCTCCTTGAGTTTTGGTTTCTTTTTGGGGAGGCAGTGTTCAGGGTAGTAGGGGCCACAGAGGTCTCCAAGGTCCTTGAAGTTGGCTGGGTTTTGGCAGAGGCAGCAGACAAGGCAAGAGGTACTTAGGGCCTTGGACACCACAGGCCCCAGGTGCATGGTAGAGGAGAGGGGCAGAGAGGGCCGAGGCTGCAGCACAGAGCTTCCAGGGAGCATGGTCAGGGAGGCCCCAGCTGGGTCTAAGGAAGAGGAGGACGAAGAGGCAGAGGAGGAGGAAGCAGCAGAGGGGGCAGGCTTCCAGTGAGGCTTGGGTTCATCCCCTGGGGCGTTGACAACAGTACATATGGTGGTGAATGCATCTCGCTTCTCCACCCGCACAAAGGGCGAGAAGGCTGGGGTCCGGCTGTCTGCCCTCAGCCTCTTGGAAGAGGAAATGTATTTGAGGCGGATTTCAGGTTCTGCAGGATCCAGAGGCAGCACCTGCTGCTGCCGTCGCCGCGTAGCACGCCCCTTACAAGGTGAGGTGTGTGTGGTCTTAGCCCGTCCCCGGCTGAGGCGCTTCCGCTTTGAATAGCTGCTATAGTTGGCATGGCCAGGCTGCTTCTGGGCCCTTGTCTGGGGCTGGCAGGGCCGGCCATCGGGAGGCTGGGAGGCCAGTCCCAGCTCTTCTGTCTTTGGCTTCTTGCCTCCTCCACTGGGGCTGTCCTCACCTCCACCCTGAGTGCTGCTGGCCCTATCTCGGGGAGCAAGGATCAGAGTTTGGCCATGACAGGGCCGCTTCTCCAATGGGCCTTTGCAGAGTCCCAAGACCCCAGCCCTGCCTTTCCGGCTCCTTTTCTTCGGTGCTGGGATAGTCCCTGGGGGTGGCAGGGCATCTGGAGACAAGAAGGCCTCAGCTTTGAGACAGTCAGCAGTGGAGGACAGTTTCTTATTGTTCACAAGTTTGCCTTTTAAGGACCTGTTGGCTGGGTTTCTACACAACAGATCGACTCCTGAAGCTGCTGGTAGCATTTGTCCAGGGCCTAGGCTTCCCAGGCCCTCTTCAGCCCCAGGTGGACTGCCCCCTGCACGTTTCTCAGGCAGAGTTGGGCTCCGGGGTGTCCCAGGAGGGGCCCCTGGCACTCTGCATGCAAGCTTTTTGAGCCCAGGTGAGGTGATCTTCTGCACTATGGCCTCCAGCTTGAGGCCGCGGCCCTTGCGGGGTGGCAACACCTTTGTTCTCACAGCACTGGGTAGGGAAGCTGGTGTAGCCAACTCCAGGCCTGCAGCTGATGGCTCCAGGGGTGGGGGTGGTGGGGGTTCCCCACTGCCCCTGGGCCTGACCCTCTGGGGTGAAGTCATCCTCCTTAAGAGACCAGGGGAGACCTCAGCCCTTTCCTCCCTCCCATCGACCCCACTGCTGCCGCCATTGTTGCTACGAAGGACTAGGCTCCGCTTCTTGGTGGGAACAGGAGTCATGAAGGATGACTTCCGTTTTAGTGTGTGGAGAGGTCGATCTGAAAGCTTAGTCCCTGCACCAGGCTTGGGGACTCTGACCCGCTGGCTCACTCGGCCTTCCTTCTGGGGACCACTGGAGACCTTGAATGTAGCAGGCAAGTGGTTGTTGGCAGAGAGCTTCTTGGTGGTACGGCAGTCTGGGAGCCGGCTCTCTGAGGGCCGCCGCCGCTTGGCGTGGAAGACCTGCTGGGGTTTGGTGCGAGAACGGAGTACCATGGAACGTTGGTCCTTGCCAGGCATGCTGGGAGAATCTGGCTCCTTGGTCTTGGAGCCCATGGGGCTGCTGTCTGAGGCAACAGGCAGGGCGGCAGGGTTACTGGGGCTGGATGCAGCCTTGGGAGATGGTTTCCCTACCCGCTTGCCAGACTTGAAGGCGGCTCGCTGTTTGCCCCCCAGTTTGTCAGGAGGTGCGGGGGTGGTGGTCAGGCCTGGAGGTCCAGGAGTTCGGGGCTCACTCATAGCTGTTAGAGAGCGGGTACACATTCTGGGGAGCCCTTCTGAGGGCCCCCGGCCTGGGGCTCCAGCCCCTTCTGCCTGTCCTTGTGGGGGTCCCACGCAGGATTCTGGAAGCAAGAGGTCTTTGGGCAGCGCTGGCACCCTGCAGGGAGATTCTTCAGCTTCAGGCAGCCCCCGGTGTACCCGCCGGCTCCTCAAACTTTTGCCCCGTGGCACAGGCTCTTTCTTAGCAATGGGGACCTCGGGCACAGCAGGCTTGTTAGGTTTCTGTGTCAAGGAGGCTTCTGAAGTGGTAGAACCACCTGGAGCCCTCTCCCCCTCAGGCCCATCTTCTCCTTGCTTCATGTGGGACAGGGAAGACTCAAACCAGCTCTGGACCTTTGACTCCGCCCCGACAGAGGGGCCCAGCAGGATGGCAGGCTCCCCAGCAAGGTGGCATGGAGAGCCCCAGCCAGCTTTGGTGTCCAGCACCTCCTCCGCCTCCTCCTTGGTACAGATGAGTGGGGCCTTGGGTGACAGTGGGTCCTGTAGGCCAGGCCTCTGCTCAGGGCTGCCCAGCAGCTCACATAGGGAAGAGTACTCCTCCTCGGCCTCCAGGTCCTCCTTCCTGCCAGGAGGTGGCAACAGTGGCAGGTCCCCAAAGTCAGTGGTGGAACAGCAATGTCGGCTGTCCTCCAGCCACCGGTCGGCCTTGCCCACCTCAGGGCACTGCAGCAGCCCACCTATCTCCTCCTTCACCCCATCTGCTTCCTCCTGCTTGAAGTCCCCAGACAGCACAACTGCTGGCTTCCCAGTGGGATGCTCCTCCTGGAAGCCCAGACAGGCTGAGGCCTCATGGGTGTCTGCTTTGCTCATACCATCTGAGACTTTCCCACTCTGCTCCAAGCCCTTGGTGAGTTCGCCAGGGTGGAGAGTCCAACGGGGACAAGCATCCCCCAGGTTCTCCTCTGGCCAGGCAAACGGGTTGGCACTGTCTACTGAGCTGGCCGTGGTTGTGTCTGGGAAGCAGTCAAATGCTACAGTGGTAGGGTCTGGAGCGGCAGCCCCAAGCGTAGGCTTGGTGCCAAAGGACAGGGGACTGGTTGTCTTCTTGGGGTCAGGGGTGGCAAAGGCCATGGAAGAGTCTTCAAACAGCCCTGGGCTGAAGTCCTTGGCACTGCCACCCTTGTTCAGCTGCAAGGACTCAGGCAGGGCTTCTGACTCCACTGGCCGTGGCCAAGAACTCTTGGCCATGGTGTCCAGGCAGGCGCTGTGATTCTCCAGTGAGAAGGGTGGCTTGCCATTGTCCTTGGGCAGGTCAGGAGCCTCAGCCCAGGCCTTGTCAGCCTTCTCAACAATGGCTTCCTGCAGCCCCAGGATCTCAGAGGCCAGATCTTCCTGTGCCAGGGCACTGAGCAGGAGCCTCGGGCAGTCCCGCTCGCCTGCCACAAATTTGGAGAAGCTGTCCAGTGGCAGAGTGCTGTGCAGGCTCTGGAAGGAATCATCAGACTTGGTGGACATGTCGTCAGGTGAGGTCACAGAACACGTAGACACAGACTCAGGCTTAGCCTTGGAGTTGCTATTGACCCTGGCAGGGCTGCCACGGGCCTGGCTGCAGTAGAGAAAGCTACGCTCTAGTGGGTCTTCGGAGCCACTCAGGTAGTCGGCCTCTTGTGGCTCAGCATGAGTGGATTGCGGTGTGCTGCTTGGCGGCTCAGACAGTGGTGTACCTGCTGGCTCTGCTGAGTAGCCACTGCCCTCGGGGCTACAGTGCTGGCTCTTGTGCTGCTCTGGGGTTCTAGACACAAGGCTCTTGACCCCTTTCTTCTGCGGCATGGCAGCTTTGGACAGCAAGAGTTGCTGCACAGTGTTGGAGATATTCTCCACCTGTGAAGTGAGTGCTGTGAGGCTCTGTAGGCTGAGGTCAGACAGCAAGTTGTCAGGGAGCTTCTCCTTCTGAAGGGACTTACAGTTGCTGGCCTGGGGGTCCACAGAACTGGCGGCGTCTGTTGGGGATGGGTTGAGCAGGGGCATGAAGTGACTGTGGTCAGTGATGCCTGTGGGGAATGCCCCAGTGCTGAGAGGCTGCTGGTTATAGGGGAAGTTCTCCAGATTGGGCATCAATGGTGACGGAGTGGAGCTGTAGGAAGGCGAGCGACCCACTGAGCGAGCAGGGGAGTGGCTGGAGCTAGGGCTGAAGGTCTGGTAGTACTGCTCTGGAGTCCTGACAGCTGTGTCTGATGGGCAGTAGCCCTGGCCTTGCTGCCCATAGTGTTGGTACTTGGCAAGGTTCTGATAATGGAGGCTTTCCTGGGCATGGTGCCGGCCCTGAAGAGCTTGCTGCTGCTGTTGCTGCTGCTGCTGCTGCTGCTGCTGCTGCTGCTGCTCATAGCCAAGGCGGCCTGACTGGTAAGCGTGAAGATTCTGGACCCGCTGCCCTGGGGCCAGGCTGGCATTGGCAGTCAACGGCCTGTCATGAGGCGGGACAGATGGTGCTGTGCAACTCTTATATGAGTGAGCCCCCTGTCCTCCACCCTGCACTGCAGAATAGGTAGAAGAGGTGGGGAAGGACTGGGAATGCTGGGGAAAGTGGCTACTCTGGGGGAAGGGCAGAGGGGAGGTGAGGTCATTCTGTGGTTTCTGCCTTTGGAGTTTGGGGTAGGCCAGGGGTTGCTGAGGCTGTGGTGGTGGGACATGCAGACTGTGAGTCCGGAAGGGAAGTTGAGGCCCCTGCTCAGGGTACTGCCTGCTTGGGGGCACCACTGTCTTCTTCATCAAGTTCTCCTCATACTTGCCTACTGCTCCTGGCAGGGGCTGTGACTGGGGAGGTGGTGGCTGTGGGGTCCCCCATGTTTGAAGACCCTCCTCGCCAGAGTAGCGCCCCGGGTAGGGGCTGCTGTCCTGGACATAGCCAGGGAAAGCTGGTCTCCCCTGCAGGGCCTTGCTGCCTCGATGGTACTTGTCCGCAGCAGCTGTGGCTACTGTGCTGGAGGGTGTGCCAGTACTACCCTCATACCCTGCATAGGGCTGCGGGTTATAATAGTCCTTGGCCAGCAGCCGCTGCCGGTCACAGCTCAGCCCAGTCTGACCCGGCTGCCTGTAGTTCTCCAGGCGTGATGTCTCCTGTGAGGTCTGTGGGTAGTTTTGCTGTTTGCCATGGAAACCACACCTTTCTCGAAAAGACTGCATGACTTGGCTGGTTATCTGTGAAGAGAAGGGGTGGTGCAGAGGGAAAACAATTCAGATGGGCCACATTCTTTGCCTCAGCTAGCGCCCCTCCTGGCCACCTCCCCACCAGCTGTGCACATATTGACAACCTTTCAGTGAGGGAGGTATTTTTGAAATTCTGCTTCCACAGCACCTGCAGCTGATCCTCACCAAGGAGAGTGGCCACCAGCATGGGTAGTGCAAAACAGGCTGCCTGGAGCCAGTCACATAAGTGGCCACTCCAGGCCCCTCCTGCTGGCTCCTCTCCATCCGCTCCTTTGTACCACCATACCCAGTCCCTGTAGATAGCTCCAAATCATTTAGCAGAGCAATTCCAACTCTGTTCCCTGGGCCCTGTTGGATCCTGTGGTCTTAGTCCCTGTGTAGCAGTACTCAAGCATGACCCAGCCATACTGGGGACCCATAAGGATCCTCCTCCCCCAACTCAGGAGAGGCTACTTGCCAGACCTGCCGTGACTACACATACAGGAGTGTACACGTGTACACAGGGCCTACCAGGCACACGTATCTGCATGCACACTCACACACACCTCCCCTGCACTGCCATCTGGACTCTGCCCCTTCTGGCAGATGTTGACTGGGGACTGCTAAGCCAACTGTCCACATAAAGCACCACCTCTCCCGACTCTTGGAAATGAAAGATGACCACATCTGCCTCTTGATTTTGATATCATAGATGCATAAACATATTACATGGTCCAGAGTGTGGGAATGTATACTAATAGGGAACAAAGATGCAGTACCCTGGTCACCAGAAATCATATGACCCAGGTTGCTCCTGCAAGTGTGACACAGTCCTGACCCTTCCTGCAGATGCCCTCCCGACTTTCCCAGGTCAGGACTGGGGCAGACAACACTGATGGTAGGGGAGAACAGGGTCTAAGACATCTCAGAACAGATCACAGGTTGGGAGGTGGCCCAGAAGGGGTAGGGGCTTATAAGAGTCACAACACAGGCTGCACCTTGGTGCCTCAGCTAGTTTCCTCCAACTGACTGGCATGGTTACCTCAGATAACCCTTAAGGGTGGAAGAGAGGACTCACACAGAGGGCTGGCCCTGAATCCCACAAGGCTCAGGGTTTACCCAGCCACCACAAAGGCCCAAAGGCAGGAAGAACATACTCCTTGGGCCTATGCAGCTCAAACCCCCAGGAAGGGAGAGGAACTTTCGATTTCTTCCAAAATACAGAAAGATGGAGGTGTGGCCACAAGGTTCCAGGTTTTTGTTTTTAGTTGTTCTTTCAGAAGTAAAGGTGGGGGAAGAGAGTCGAGTGCATCAGAGAGAAACAGAGGTATGAGAGGGGAAGAGACAGGGAGGGGAGAAGTAGGAAAAGAGAGGAATGGAGAAGCTGTGCTGGCAGCGAGGGCCAGTCACTCTTCTCTAATCTGAATCCCACAAAGATGCCTTCTTTTCACTGTTTTGGGATTGACCTAGAGAAAGGGGCAAAAGGAAGACCTCTATAATAAGGTATGCTCAGGGCAGCTAGGCATCCCTAGAGTTCACAGCACAGCCTGATCTGCTTGTCCCAGAGTTAGCCCAAGTTCCTTGCCCTGGAATCAGCACGCCTGACCCAGCTGCTCCTAAGTCATGTTTTCCTTCCCCTCCTCGTCTTCTCAGACTAAGAGTCTCCTACCTGCCCTACCCCCAACTCATGTGTCCCTAACCCCTCATTAGGGCCTGATGGTTTCGATGAAACACCCCACAATGTGCCTACTCAGAGGGGCTAGAGGTAGCTCTGAGCCAGGTGGGGAACCCTATGCCTCTTGCTCCCACCTTCATGGAGCAAGGTACATGGCAGGTTCTGGTAGATGCCACTCCTGCTCTGGTCTGCTGGTGGGCTGCTTCCAAGACCAGGATGTGAAGTACATGCTCCCTGTCCTCCCCAGTGTGTGTTTATGAGCCCAGAATGCACAAACCAGGACTGCTCTGAAGGCTGCATCTGCCTGCCTCCCTCGTATATCTGCACAAATTACATTTCGGTTTTTATTAGTCCCAGATCACTCTCATTTCCTGCTGAGTGTCCTGTGGATATCATTAACATTTCTAGGGCTGGAGGTTTTTTTTTTTTTCCTTTTTTCTTTTTTCCACATTCCCCAAAATGCATTACCAGAGACATTATTTAAAAAGAGGAGGTGCCATCAAGTGTCCCCTCCTGTCTGCTCTGCCCCTGCCCCATTCAATCAGTCCAGCTGCTGTGTCTTTAATTTCACCCCATCAGATTACAGGCAGGCTTCCCAACACACACAGGCAGCTGGGTGTGGGAAACATCTATCTCTAAGAAGAGACAGTTCAATTAAAATCCAAGAGGCCTAGTGCCTGATGGAGAACACAGGCAAAAATGTGTGCCCCCAACGCTACCCTCCAACCCCAGCAAAGGGGGGGACACAGGAACAAAGACTCAGGCATGGTAGCATCCTGGCTGCTAGCTTTGGGCTGCATAAGTCCTGCTGGCTTTGCCAGGAGAAAACAGGGTGCCACTTCTTTAAGAGCTGCCTCAAGCCTGCCATGGGCTCTGGTGTTATTAATTATTGTGATTATGATTATTTTTCAAGAGCACAAGGAAAGGACACAGAAGGGGAGAGGCAGATAGCAGGGGCTTGGGGTGGGCGGCATCATCAAAGCAGGGAGAAGAATGAGTTTCCCCACAGGTGAACATGGAGGAAAGGAAGAAGTGGGGTGGGGGAGATGGGAGCATTGGCTAGAAGGGCAGCAGTGGTGGTCAGGGGAGAGAATCTTGCCCCTGTTTCTTTCCCCTTCCACCCCATCCTATCTGCCTCTTCTGAGAATTTGCCACGGCCTCCTCTTAGTAGCTCTGACAGAACCTAGCAGGCAAAGGGGGAGGAATCCTGAGCAATCAGCCCTGGGCACGTGAGCACTCCATCCTTATACCCACTCCTGGGAAATGGTCATCCCAGACACTAGATGGAGGGGCCCACTAGGCCCATCAAGGCAAAACCTCAAGGTCACTGTGGAACTGGATGGTACTTGCAGCCCAGATTGACTTCTTTTGGCATAGCAGTAGGCCACAGACCCCAAGTCATCAATACAGTCATGAAACAGCATGTAGAGGAGCAAGGAGAACCCCTCCACCAAGGGTGAGTCTAAGGCACAGCCTTCTCCCCAAAGACCCTAGGAGAGGGCCTAGTTACTGAGCACCTCTGCTAGATTGCCTTGTTCAATGCTTTCATTGTTCTGTCCCTTTTATAGAAAAAGGTGAAGTTCAGAGGGTTAAGGGACCTGCTTATGACCCTAGCTAAACAATGTGATCAGACTCTTCTCCTGGACCAGGAATTCCTACCCTTAAAAACCGTCTCAGTACACAGCAAGAAGAGCTGGGCTCAAGCCATACCAAGCATGTGCATGAATGGACACCTGTGTCTGTGTGCATATCTATAGCCTGCCAGGCTCTGAGTGCAAGTCAGGCCCTTTATTTCCATGGTTCTAGGGACAAACTCAGGGTCTGTAAGCTAAGGCTACCATTGAGCTGCACTGCAGCTCACAGGTCCCACTTTTATTCCTATCCTACCCTTAATTCTACTGGGCACACCCATATATATAATCTAGCCAGCCCCCAATGAGGAATCATTAAACCCAGAGCTTCTCCAGGCCCCAGAGTTGGCTTTATCAGTGAGATGGGTTTAATGTGGGCCAGAGGTGCTGTGAACAAGAGGGGGCTCTGCAGGGATATTTTTCTGAGGGAAAAGGAGGGTGGAAGATGGAGTAGGGAAAGCTATTTTCTTTACTGGCCCAGCAGCTGGCCCTCTTACCTGCCTACTCCTGGTTTACTAATTTGTAGTTGCAGGGGAAATGGAAAGGGGGCATTCCTGGGCCTCAGGAAGCTGGGAGGGAAGAGAGACATGTTCAGGGAGCAGTGGAGAGGCGAGACTCCCCCTCAGTAGGACTACCCATCAGTTATGGGTGATAATGAGACCTGGGGGCTAGGGAGATGACTCAGTGGGTAAAAGAGCTTGCTGCACAAGTGGGAGGACCTCAGTAGGGAACCCCAACCCTTAAACAAAAAGCTGGCTGTGTGAGCTTGTTACCCCAACAATACTTTGGAAGGAAATGGGGGAGGAGTACAGGAAAGAGGGTTAGATTGCTGGGGCTTGCTGGCCAGTCATCCTAGTAAAAAAATACCTAAAGCTACAAGTTCAGCTAGAGACCCTGTCTCAAGGAAATAAGGCAAAATGACAGAGGAAGACACTTGAGGTTCTTTTCTGGTCCTTGCATGCACCAGCACAGATGCCCTAACCTGTGCACACACATAAAATAAAAAAAAACTTAAAATATTAACAATGTATATGAGACCTGGATGAATATGAATCATCAGTCAGATTTCTGGCTTTACTGGAGGTCTTTGTAGTCTTTAGGGGCCAGGCTTGTCTCAGGGGCAGGGATGAGTCTCCACATAGTTATACAAGAGCAAACAGTCAGTCCCCACTGGCCAGGCTAGACTTGTTAGGCTGGGGAGTAGCACTGGGAGAGGGATTGACAGGCCTCCTTAGGGCAGAGAGAGGACCATCCTGTGCATAGGGAATTCAAAGGACAAGCAGCTTTACAGCAAAGCTGGGCCTCTCCAGACCACCCTATGTTGGCAATAATGAAGCATGCCACCTCATTTACAGGTCCCCCATGCTCAAGGAGAACCCTAACAGGAATGCTTGCAGGGTCTGGGGTTTTAGTAGCCAGAGGCAGGTAGAGATACAGAAAGCAGAAGACAGTGGTGGGGTGTAGCTCAGGAGTAGACTACTCACCTAACATGCACTAGCCTTCCCATTACTGAAACAGATAATCAATCAATCAATCAATCAATATTAGCAGATATGGTGGCACAAGCCTGTGATTCCCAGCATCTGAGAAGGTGAGGCAAGATGAGCAGATCTCAAGTTCAAGACCAGTCTGAGCAGGTTAGGAATACAGGTCAGTGGTAGAACACTTGCCTAGCTTGCATGAAACCCTAAGTTCAATTCCAGCAC